AGCAAAAATTGACATGATCCTACCTGTTTATTTTTGGTTTTGCTGCTTATATTTTCAATTATTTCTTAAAAAGTTGTTAGCATACAAATCCTAAGTCGTGCTCTCCCTTCTCTACTCAAAACTCTCCACCTCACTGGGACCACAGCCGGGGCCTTCACCGCCGCCGCCCAGCCCTGTACTTCCTCTCCTGCAGGTACCAAGCTTCAGATGTGCTATTTCCCTGCTGTTTCTCCAACATTCTGGCACGCTGGTGGGGGGAGGGGGCGAATCCTGAAACTGATCCCCTGAGAATACTGAGGAATGACATTTAGTATTTTCCTCTTTCCAGAATATCTTTAAAATTCAGTGTGGGAAAACCAAGAACAAAAGCCTATCCTCTTAGGAAATTTCAAGTAGACAATACAGTACTGTTAACTACAACTACAATGTTGCACCTTAGAGCCCTGGAACTTATTCATGCTGGGTAACTGACTTCCAGCTCTTCCACCATCCTATTCCCCCTCCCTGCCCTGGCAGCCTGCACTCCACTCTCTGCTTCTGAGTTTGACTGTTTTAGATTCCACATATTGGTGAGATCATCCACTGTCTTCCTCTGTCTGCCTTATTTCATTTAGCATAATATCCTCCAGGTTCATTCACATACACACACACGTTCATCTGTACGGACGTATCCATTCATCTGTTTATCCACTCACCCATCAGCAGACACAGGTTGTTTCCATACTTGGGCCATTGTGACTAAGGCTGCAGTGAGCATGGGAGTCCAAGGAAATCTCTGAGCTTGATTCCAGTTCCTTGGGTACATTCCCAGAAAGGGGACTGCTGTACCATCTAGTAGTTCTACTTTTAATTTTCTGAGGAACTTCCATATTGTGTTCCATACGGGCATAAAAGTTGCATTCCCATCAATAGTATACAAGAGTTCCTTATTCTCTACATCCTTCCAATACTTCTTGTACTTCTGATAGTAACGATCCTAACAGGTGTAAGGTGGCATCTCATTATGGCTTTCATTTGCATTTCCCTGATGATAATCGACATCGCACACCTTTTCATGTGTTTGTTCACTTATATGTCTTTTTTATAATTATCAGTTCAGGTCCTTTGCTCATTTTATAACTGGGTTGTTTTCCTGCTAGCGAGCTGTTTGAGCTCATTATGTATTTTGGATATCAACCCTTATGAGACATATGGTTGGCAAATATTTTCTCCCATTCCGTAGGTTGGCTTTTCACTTGGTTGTTTCTTTTGTTGTGTAGATGCTAAAAAAAAGCAAAAATTGACATGATCCTACCTGTTTATTTTTGGTTTTGCTGCTTATATTTTCAATTATTTCTTAAAAAGTTGTTACCAACACAAATGTCAAGATTTTTCTTCTATGCTTTTCCTCTAGCAGTTTTACAGTTTTAGTTCTTATGTTTAAGCAATTAATTCAATTAAAAAAAATATTTTGCCAGAAGGCATGTGTGCCTACCAGAGACAGAAAGAGACAGAGAGAAAGAGAAAGGAGAAAGTTAAAGCAAGAAAGCACTTCCCCTATGGGGCATGGTCATGCTGTAGGGTGACCACTCATGGTCACCTTTATTTCTCCCTCCTTTTAGGACTTTGGGCACACATGCACATGGCATGTTTTTCAAGTTGCCAGGTCCAGTACGTGAACCACACCAGCCAGCCATGTGGGATCTAGTTACCTAACCACCAAGCCACAGCTGATCTATTAATCCATTTTGAGTTCATTTTCCTAAAAGGTGTGAGATAAAGGCCCAATTCCATTATTCTCCATGTGGAAATCCAGTTTTCCTAACGACATGTATTAAAAATGATTCAAAGCCAGGCTCTTAATGCAGTGATTATAAGAAGCTGGATTCCACATGGCCAGCCAGGGTTTGAGTTCTGGCCCTGGCAGCTTGAAAAAACATACTAGCTCTATGCATGTATCCCCAGGATCCTGATGGGAATGGAGAAGTGGAGAAAGGATTGTGGCACGACCAGGCCCTATTGGAAGGGGGATCTCTCTCTATTTTGCACACATGTGCCTTCTGACATTAAAAAGAATTAGAATAGAGAGACTATTCTTTCACCATTGGTACCTTTGTGAAGATAAATTACCTATTAATGCATGGATATTTTCCCCCAGGCTTTCCATCTAGCCCACTGATCTTTATGTCTGTTTTTTATGCCATTATCATATTGTTTAGATTACTGAAGCTTTGTGATATACTTTGAAATCAGGAAGTGTGATGTCTCCAGATTTTTTATTCCTGCTCAAGATTGCTTTAACTACTCATGGACTTTTGAAGGTTCTAAATGAATTTTAGAAATGTATTTTCTATTTCTATTAAAAAAAAGTCATTGAGATTCTGTTAGGGATTATACTGAATCAGAATATTATTTTAGATAGTACATACATTTTAATTATAGTAATTCTTCCAATCCATGAACGTGGGGTGCTAATAGGTCCCACTTGGTCATGGTCTATGATGTTGTGAATATGCTGTTGAAGAATACTCTTAGCATTTATTATAAGGCAGGTGTAGTGGTCACCAACAACTCCCTTGGTTTTGTTTGGGGAAGATGATCTTTTCTTCATTTTTAAAGGATGTTTTGCCAGGTATAAGATTCTTGTTTGGCCATTTTCTCCTTCAATACTTCCAGTACATCTTTCCACTCCCTTCTGCCCTGTAAGGACTCTGAAGAGCAATCCACTGGGCCTTACGGAGTTACTTAAATGAGTTTCTTTCTTCCTACTGCTTTGAAAATTCTTTGACTTATGACAATTTAATTGTAATACATCTCAATGTAAATCCACTTTATGCTCAACCTATTTAAATCTTTTGGTCTTCTTGAATCTGGATGTCTTTTTCCTTCCCCACACTTGGGAAGTTTTCCACCGTTGTCTCTTTAAAGGAGCTTTCTGGGTGTTGTTTGTTTTGTGGTGGGGAGTCTCTTCTCCTTTTGGAGCTTCCATATGTGTGCATTGATGGCGTCTCAGAAATCTCACAGGCTTTCTACCCTTTCTCATTCTTTTTTTTTTCCTCTTTGACTGGATCATTTCAAATGACCTGCCATGGAGTCCACTTATTCTTACACTCAAATTTTGCTGTTGAAGCTACATTGCCTCCAAATAGAGGAACCTTGAACAAGAAATCTTTGACTCGACAAGGCGAAGAAGTCTGGGGTTCATGTGCTTTATTCAGTGAACCTGATCCTTGGTGGAACCGGATGTGGCCCTCAAGTCCTGTACAAGGGGAGGGCTGACAGGCATGTGAAAGCATTCTAGCAGTGGGAGCAGCTCAGTAAGGCTAACCACGTTCTGATACAACTAAGCCTACTTACTAAGGAACAGGTCTGCTCGGAAGAATTTGGTTCCTGAAAACAAGGCAGCAAAATGCAGAGGTGAGGGTGCCAAGTTCCCGCATGGCCAGCGTCCCCTCCTGTCACTGTTGCTATTGCCACGGAAACATCTCTGGTGTCAAAGCCACAGTCACTGAGTGGCAGCTTCGGTTGTGTCATCTCCATTCTAGCTTAAAGGGTCAATCACCGACCCTTCCTTGAAACGCACTTCACTCATTTGCCCAGCATAGATATTGAGGCCTACTCTGGAGTCCCAGGACCTGGCAGTCCTTATGCCCTTGGGTAGGGGTTGGGGAGGTGCTGGAAATGCTCAGGTGACCACAGCTATGAGGAGGACTCTGGAGGAAATGCACTGGGTGCTGGGAAGGGCCACTGTAGTAGGGAGGTAGCAGAGGCTGCCCAGGAGTGAGCCTGAGTGTGAGCTGCGGCAGGAAGAGCGACCTTCGGGGCTCCTCCGTAGGCAGAAACGGGGCCCAGCATCAAGCAGCTCCTCCTGTGGACTGGGGTGTACGGGAGACTGGCACTCAGTGCTGTGCTGCAGGGCTCCTGGGGGCCCTCCTCTCACAGCATTGGGCTCTGACCCAGCCTACGGGAAACCTGGGTGGCGATGCAGGCCTGTGAATCACCCCACTCGGAGGAACCGTTTAAAGGAAGGACCCTCCTGTCCACAGACCACGCCCACGCCCAGGCCGCTCAGGTGGGGACAAGGCCCTCAGAGGCCATGTTTATATCACCTTGTGACATCTCTCTTCGGAGGTCTGTTCCTTCTTGACATCTGCTAAAATAACATTTTGTTAGCAATTAAGATAAAACACAAACTCAGACACAGGGCCAGCCCTGCAGCCTGGTAGTTAAGGAAGCCAGATCACCCCATGGCCAACGGTGGTTTGAATCCTGGCCCTGGCCCTTGGAAAACATGCCAGACAAGTGTGTACACCCCAAATCTGCGAGGATGGAGATGGAGGAGAAGAGACTGCACAGTGGCCGTGTGCCGTGGGGTACTTTCTCACTTGCTTTCTCCAGGGAACACACAAACCCTCTGGCAAGGTAAATAATTTCAGAAAAGATATGACACTATTTCAGTTAAAATAGAAGTTTAATAGAATCATCAAAAACTATGCTAAAAACAAGGACTAGAAGTTAGATTTTAGGCAAATTTATAAAACCAAGTACACTTGTTTTACATTTCAGGTAAACCAGGAAGTGGGGAATTATAATTCCCAAATGTGGCAGGCAAGCAGCAAAAGTCTTTTGTGTGATTTACCTGAGGAAGAGGCTCTGGAAGTGCTACTGTCTGAGGCACTGTACTGAAGGGTTAATAACCACCTCGTTCCAACGCACGTCACAGATGTTTGAGGATTTTCTCAAGGAAGCTACTCTCCGGTCAGGAATACTGGGAGAGTGAGGGGCGTGCTAAGGCTGCATGCCAGGTGGTCAGAGGCGTGTGGCCCCACGGCGGGCGCAGACGGCCCTGCCAGGGGAGAGCGTGACCACAGGGACCCCTCCTCAAAAGGCGACAGGTCCCCTCCGTTCACTCGGGTCTCTTAGCTTGTCTTTAAAAAACAAACAACAAAAAATAGTAATTTGCAAGGCACCTAGAGAGTAGCTTGTAATGCATTTGTCTATGTGGAAAGTGCTCAATTGTATTTATGAAGGAAAATGAGACATTAGTTAATACAAGGAACATGGTCAAAACTCAGCCAATACTTGACTACATAAACTCAGCTCTCTTCTTCCTTAGGGTTTTTTTTTTTTTTAATACTTTTTTTTTTTTTGGCCATCCCTGGAACACACAGAAGTCTCCCAGGAATGTGCTAAATCGAAGGGAAAACTAGGCTCGCACTCGGAGCCCTGGAATGGCGTTCTCAGGCCAGAAGCTGGAACTGCCCCGGGGTGGCTGTGACACGTGAGGTCTTGTCAGTCTGCAGACAGGCATCTCCACCCGGCTGGGAAACCCAGCCAGGCTGGTGGCAGAGGTTGGGACCACCACTCTCGACCTCGCCTTGGCCATGGCTCCGCCAGCAGGGGGAGCAGGAGCTCGCCCTCCGCAGGAAGGTGGATCCAGCCAGAGCCCAGGAGAGGCCGGTCCTGCAGGGCTCACATTGGGTCACGTTTCAACAGCAAGGCTCCAGTCTGTTCACAATGATTGTTTAAAACGAAGGGACAGTCAGTAATTTAAAAAATACTGGCCTTAATTAAAAAATAACACTGATTTTTTTTTAAGTACCTCTAAGCAATAAAAATACGCCCTGTGGTTATTCTGATGGGGCTGGGATTTCCTGCATAAAAGCCACTGGGTGCTGACCAGGGTCGCTGTGAGCCAGGCCCTGGGAGGAAGGCCAATGGCAGGGCCACCTCAGCTCCAGGAGCTTGGTCTGGGGTGGGGACGGACACGCACAGCTGCTGCAGGAGGCAGTCGGTCGACTGGAAGGGGCCACGTGGTGGCAGTGCCACACAGCGACTCAGAGAGGCCATGGGTCTGAGACCGGGTCCGGTACTGTGCGCCCGCACCTCTGTAAGCTACGAAATGGCCCCCTCGTATTGGAATTTCCGTACAGACAACACCAGCACACAAGCACCGCAGGAAGGATGGCAGTGGCGTGAGGAACGCTCCAACAGGGTGGCTCAGTGTGACAGCGGCCAGTTCTACCCCAGGAGTACGAAGGAGAGCCAGGGGCTAGGCGTTCCTCGGAGCTCGCGCTCGGAGGGTGCTGGCAGGACGAGTCTTCCTCGCACAGAGTGCTGGGACCCTCGTCACCCTGGCCCCAGACTGCAGAAGCCAGTAGCACGCCCATCACTGTGACAACCAAAACGCAAAGGCACATTTCAGACGCCCCCTGAAGAGGCTAGGCCCCTGTTGAAAACTGGTCTTCTAGAATACCTTCTTTATTAAGGAACCCTTCAGTTCTCTTAATGACAATAAGCGCGTAGGGAATTCGTGACCCTGATTTCTTTCTCCCTCCACACACTGAGTGAGGGTCTACTTCATCTCCATGTCTACAGAAAGTAAAAGCTAAAATCATGGGTCAGAGGGCAGCGACAGAGCAAGCCCAAGGAAGCCGAGAACTGCTGGGGATAGTCTCCCTCAATGCGGCTCTGGCCGAGTGCTCAGCACTGGACGCGACCTTCGAGCCAGCAGATGGGCCTGCTGCTGAATCTCCTTCCAGAACTTACAGTGTCCAAGGCTGTCAGGAAGGAGAGGGGGCACTTGGGTTCTGACGGAAGCAGGAGGCGGCGAGGTGGCCCCCTCGTCCACTAGCAGACGTTCGACCCATGGCAGCCACTGTGACTCAGTACACTGCCTGCTGCCTCATCCGGTCCTTGTCCCCCTCCCCTAAGTCACAGACAGCCCCACTCACATGGCAGAGGTGGCCCACTGAGGGATTCCCCAAGACGAAGCCCTGGGCACTGCGTCCACATCCAGTCTCTAAGCTGGCCTGCCCAGACCCCGTCGTGGCGGCAGGAAGGAGTCCAGAAGGCGTGCACTTAGGTGTGGGCCGCCCCTCCTTACCCACGGCCTTCATCTCTTAGAGGTGACTATGTCGAAGGGATGCGGGGCTAGAGTGAGACCAAACCTTCCGGTCAGGAGGGGCTTCCGAGCGCCCGCGGGCAGAGCGAACGAGAAGGCCTGCATGAGGCTCACGAACATCAGGAATAGCTCCATCTTCGCCAGCTGCTCTCCCATGCACACACGCTTCCCTAGAACGGAGGCCAGGAAAGAGCCGGGTTACACTGATGCACATGACATATCTAAACGGCATCTTACATGCAGACAGAGTCCGACACAGTCCACAGGGGACCAGCAGCTGGCGTAATGGCTACATCGCTGGACTCCCACGTAGTCGACCGCGGTTCGCGTCCCAGACCCAGTGGTTTAAACTCACACCAGGCGCGTGTCCGTGCATGCCCAAGATCCTGAGAGGAGAACGGAGGAGAAGGGATTGCGACACGGCCATCCCCCTAGGGGGTGATTTCTCACTTTCTGTCTCTCTGTCTGTCTCTGTCTTTCTGGCAAACGCGCGTGCCCTATAGCAAAAACCTCTCCAAAAAAAATTAAAAAATAAAATAAACATTCCACAAAAGCCACAGAGCCTCCCACATACATGCAGAATGCGTACATACCAAGTGCACGTTTTAACTCCTACTCACAAAGGCGCATGCTCACCCTAGACTGTAGCTAGAGCCAGGCCCAGTCCGGCAGTTTCCCCATCTCCTCATCTCTATCCTGCCTATGTCCCTCCTCACTCTTGCCTTGAAGATTAAAGGGAGACAAGGCACATGAGTTTCTGGAGCCTTCCTTTTTCCAAAGAATGAATTCTAAGAAATGAATGACATCTTTCATTTCTTTTCCTTTTAAGTCCCCCCCCGCCCCCGCCCATAGGGCATATGCATTTGCCAGAGAGAGGTATAGTGAGAAGTCACCAGGGGTGTGGCCACGCTGCAATCCCTACTTTTCCAGACTCCTCTGGGGATTTTGGGCATGTGTGCACATGTGCCCAGGGTGATTTTCAGGATGCTGGGTTCGAGACTTGAACCAGGGTCATCCATGTGGGAATCCAGCACCTTAACCACACACCACCTGCTGGCCCCTCCCACATGTCTCCCACCACCTGCTCTCTACCTACCAGCCCAACAGGGGGTCAGAAGTTGCCGTTAATTCTAGTATGTTCCCTGTGACCCGAACCTTCGCCTAGAGGCTCAAAGATTTCTAGTATTGCTACCTGAAGATTTAAACCCACTTGCTTTTATCTTGTTTTTAAAATCTGAAGTGAGGGTCAATTGGTGGCATGGTGGTTAAGGCGCTGGCTCCCACACGGTGAACTCTAAGTTCAAGTTCTGGACCTGAAAGCCACGCCAGGCACGTGTGTGTGTGCATACCCAAACCCTGAGATGAGAATGGAGGAGAGGAGATTGCTGCGTGGCCATCCCGCTGGGGGTGAATTCTCACTTTCCCTCTTTTTCTGTCTCTGGTGAGTGCATGTACCCTATGGCAAAATATTAAAAAAAAAAAACAAAAACAAAAACAAAAAAAAACTAAATGAAAATAGAGGTTAGGGTTAGCTTTTAAAGACAGGAACATTTAAAAACAATGAAATAATAAAATATTCTTTAGTTTTTATGCCATTAAGAAAAAAATGAGACTTTGACTGACCTATCCCAAAGGGAATGAAGGTTTCTTTTTTAATCAGTTGTCCTTGGTCATCTAGAAATCGATCAGGGTAGAAGTCGTCTGGTCTCTCCCAGATGGCTGGGTCTCTGTGCACCGACCACAGGTTGGGCAAGATCACAGTGCCTTTAGGGATGGTGTAGCCGTGGAGCACTGCAACACACACACAGCACCGTTCCATACACTCACCGCAGCTCCCTACACATCAGCGTCTGAAACAAACAAAAACAACAACGAAAAACCCGAAAACACCACCTAAGGGTCCTCAGAAAATCTGGGGGAAAATGGAATTAGTGGACAAATTTATTCTGATGCAAAAAAATGTGAACCTCATGCCAAGTTTTTTCACAATACACATTTTCCATGAGCTTCCTGGAGCCCCCTCCTGTGAGCATCCCAACTGCTGAGCCTAAACTCAGAGGTGGTAGGGCAGAGTGGAGCCCTTGTCAGCGGGACCCTCCCCTGCACCCACCCTTGCCACCTTGGGACAGGCCCTGGAGGCACTCCATGGATGTGAACACATGAAGTAAATCGAGTCACAGAAATGGTACAGTTAAGAGACAACACCGCAACAGAAACAATAAGGCATTCCAAGTAAACTTCGCCTGCGGTTGACAAACGCCTAACGTCTGTAAGGAATCGAGCAGTTTCCGGAGCCATCTGAGTTCACGCAGCACCACGACGAGAAAGAAGACTAAGGGAAAGGGCAATGCAGGGGGTGGGCGGGCTCTCTGCAGCCTAGACGTTAAAGCGCCTTTTAACAATGCCCAGGAGATTCGACTCACTTGGCCTATCTGACCTGCACAGAAAACTGCTCAGAGACCCGGTGTCCTGTTTAAGCACCTGTGTCCTACAGCTGTCTTGTGACGATTGATGGATTCACGCCCATCATGCCACTGTGGCTGACTCCAGAGAGAGTCCTTGTCAACAGGGATGTTTGAAGAGTCTGGACACGGCCTATGGACCTGTTTCACCGTGGGAGACACGTGGAATCACGCGATGCCGGAACCCAGTACGCTCTTCTAATTCTTTAATATTTATATTGAGTCGCAGAATTTAATAAAACAGGAGTAGGGTAGTTTCTAGCCCCAGATCTTAACACATTTAGACTAGCTCTTTTGAGCTCTGTGAAGAGGACCGAGAGGCACTTGGTGGTTCTGGAGTTCTTCCAGCCACTGCAGCCTGCTGAAATTGCGGCGTTAACTCTGCAGTGCAAGCCTATGAGCTCCTGGGGCTAGAGAGCTATTGACGACACCACGTGTGCTGGCATGACACGGTGCCCACCGTGGGCAGCAGATGCCCCCGACACGCCATCACCCGTGGCACAACACTAAGCCCTCAGGAGGACCACGCCAGGCAACGCTCGCCCACCCCCTCTGTAACTCCACCGGATGGGGGCTGTGTGTCCCTCAAGGGCCTTCCCAGCAGGCAACCCCTCGACTCGCCTGTTGCGTCCGAGGTCATGTGCGGGATGGACAGTGGCACCACCACGGTCAGCCTCTGCACCTCCATGATGGTGGCTTCAGTGTAGGGCATCTGGGCCTTGTCCGTGAGGGAAGGGGCACGACTGGGACCAATGACCCTTCTGATTTCTTCATGAACTTTTTCTGTACACAAAGGAAAGAACCGACCAGATCAGCCGGGAGAGGGTCGAGCCTGACCTTTGCACACTTCTCGTCACCACTGACACACAGCTGGCACCTGGGTGGCACCCGCCTGATCCAGGTTGAGTGCACAGAAGCTCCACTCAGCTGCCCCAGCAGGGACGGCTGGCCAGAGCCTGCACTGCCTAGGGCGTGGAGAGGGGAGAGGAGGCAGAACAGCCAGAGCGAAGCAGAGGCCTTCTGGAGTCAGAGCACCTGGACCATGCTCTCAGAGAAGTGTGGGACTGACTCTTCAGGCTGACGGGACAAGGGACAGCTCAAGAGGACTCCAAGGGCCTGGGGAGTCATCCCTTTGAGCAGTCACTTCCCACTTGGTATCAAGCTGGCCTACGTGACCAACACGAAAAGGGAAAAGTGATCACACACCACTTTTGAGAAAGTCACAAATGACACTGCACTGTGGCCCCATCTCTACCTTCCCCTCTCTGTCCCTCTCCCTTTCTCTCTCTCTGAGGTTTGGGGGTAGGTGGCCGTCTAATCTAGCAGTCTGTGTAGAGGAGGAAACTGTAACCTGGGGCCTTAGTCACGTGGACAGTAATAGGTCCTGCAGTCCCGGTCACATCTACAGATGACTATGGCTCCAGCCAACACCTTGATGAGAACTTGATGAGAAACCCTACACTAGAACCATCCAGACTCAGCTGCTCCTGGACTTCTGACCCTGAAATGAAGTGACATAATAACTGGGGGGCTGTTGTAAATGGCTACACATGGGGGTCATATGAGGGACGGCTGGCCAGAGCCTGCACTGCCTAGGGCGTGGAGAGGGGAGAGGAGGCAGAACAGCCAGAGCGAAGCAGAGGCCTTCTGGAGTCAGAGCACCTGGACCATGCTCTCAGAGAAGTGTGGGACTGACTCTTCAGGCTGACGGGACAAGGGACAGCTCAAGAGGACTCCAAGGGCCTGGGGAGTCATCCCTTTGAGCAGTCACTTCCCACTTGGTATCAAGCTGGCCTACGTGACCAACACGAAAAGGGAAAAGTGATCACACACCACTTTTGAGAAAGTCACAAATGACACTGCACTGTGGCCCCATCTCTACCTTCCCCTCTCTGTCCCTCTCCCTTTCTCTCTCTCTGAGGTTTGGGGGTAGGTGGCCGTCTAATCTAGCAGTCTGTGTAGAGGAGGAAACTGTAACCTGGGGCCTTAGTCACGTGGACAGTAATAGGTCCTGCAGTCCCGGTCACATCTACAGATGACTATGGCTCCAGCCAACACCTTGATGAGAACTTGATGAGAAACCCTAAACTAGAACCATCCAGACTCAGCTGCTCCTGGACTTCTGACCCTGAAATGAAGTGACATAATAACTGGGGGCTGTTGTAAATGGCTACACATGGGGATCATATGTTACTCGGCAATAGCTAACTAATACAGGTAGGCACAGTCCTATCTAGGACAGGCAGAAAACACCCCCTTCAAGAGGTCCCCTTCTGGAATCTATAAATAGGTGCCCTATCTGGCAAAAGCGACAGTGCTGACGTGGTTAAATTAAGGACCTATCAATGAGATTATCCTGGGTTATTGGGTGTGCCCAATCTAAGTGTTTAGGGTTTTAAAATCAGAGAACCTTTCCCAGATGAGTTCAGAGACAGAGAGATGCAACGGTGCAGGTGGGCTCTGAGCGATGCAGGTGGGCTCTGAGTGATGCAGTGTGGGCTCTGAGCGGTGCAGGTGGGCTCTGAGTGATGCAGGTGGGCTCTGAGTGATGCAGTGTGGGCTCTGAGTGATGCAGGTGGGCTCTGAGTGATGCAGTGTGGGCTCTGAGTGATGCAAGGTGGGCTCTGAGCGATGCAGTGTGCTGGCTGCAAAGTGGAAAGAAGGGTGAAGAGCCCAGAAGGCAGAAACCACAGGGGACGGTTTTCCTCTGAGCCTCTAGAAAGGAAGGCGGCCCTGCCAGCAGCTTGAGCTTCGCCCAGTGCGGCACGCGCCAGGCTTCCGAGGCACACACTGTAGAACGGATGTGTTGTTTTAAGCCACTAAGTCTCCTGACCTTTTCAAAACCTACCATCGTCCCTGCGCTCTCCCACTACGAGCTGCTCCCGACAGTGGCTACCCGGTGCTACCCAGGTCAGGGCTGCATTTCACTCTGTGAGGGTCACACCCTTCTTTGGGCCTCTGTTCACCACTTCCAAAACAAGATGGATGTGTTCAGATAAACACTGATTCCCTTCAGCTCTGGACGCGCTGCTCTCCAGAGGTCTCCCACCTGGAAGGGGTGAGCGAGTTGTGCCATTCACCCCACTGACTAGAAACTCGGGGTTCCACCGTAACCCTCCCGCCTCGTGAAATCCGAGGTTCTCCTCAGTTTTCCAGCCTGAAGACACTGCGTGTGAGGAGCGACTAGCTCACCGGAGCCACTCCCCCGGGGAGAATAACCCACTTGTCCCGGAGTCAGGGGACGCTGCGGTCACCTTGCACGTCGGGGTGCAGGGACATGTAGAGCAGGCACCAGAGCAGGGAGTTGGTGGTGGTGTCGGTCCCGGCGATGAAGAGGTCTCCGATGATGTAGAACAGGTAGTCCTCGTTGAAGCTGCTGCTGCCGCTCCTCCGCTCCTCCTCCGCGTGCAGGAGGTACATGTCGATGAAGTCCTGCGGGTTCTCTCTGTCCAGAGACTCTTTGTGGTCCTGGATGATCTTTTTGAGGAAAGCGGTGATGTCCTTCTCGATCTGTCTTAGCTCCCTGAACAGCCCGAAAGGGAGGTAGTAGAGCCAGGGGCACACGTTGACCAGCAGGAGCTGGCTGTTGAGCGAGATCTCCAGGCCCCGCGACATGAACCCCAGCATGTCCTTGAACTCGCTGTTGGTGTAGTCGAAGCGCTTGCCGAAGCACAGGGAGCAGATGATGTTGGAGACGGCGTTGCTGATGATGGGGCCGGGGCTGAAGGGCTGGTCCCCGTGCGCCTGCATCTCCTCCTTCACGAACTTGAACTCCTCGATGATCTGCGGCTCCAGGCTCAGCTTTCCCAGGCCGAAGTGGCGCAGAGTCGAGTGCGAGAACTTCCTCTGCTGCCTCCAGACAGGACCGTACCGCGCGAACACGACCCCTGCGAGGGGAAGCAGAAGAAGGTGAGGGTGCCTTCCCCACGACCCAGGCCAGGGCCTGCCGTGGGGCGTGCCCTGCATCTTCCAAGCCATGTAGGCAGACCGCATACACAGGGAAAGACCCCCGGCCCAGAGCAGGACCCGAGAGCCAGTTCCCAGGGGAGTGCCCGTGTCTCAGTAAATAACCGCGATCTATCCAATTACACTGGTAGGAACCCCTGGAGGAGCGAAAGGCAAGGAGCTTCAGTTTCCGGGGTTAGTGTGCATTTCCAAGCCCTCACTCCCCAAGAGTCACTCAGACTTACGAGGTATTTCGGGCCCAGTCACAGTAGCGAGCTCTGGACGCTGTTCTCTGGGCTGGGGTCATGTGGGAGGCCTGGGTTCTTTTTCTGGCCCATGCATAAAGCCAGGCACAGTGGGTGCACCCCCAGACCCAGCTACCATGGAGGCCGAGGCAGGAGGACTGCAGGCAGTAAGGCCCCGTCTATCACACTCACACTCACACACACGCACACGCGCACACTCTGAAAGAAAGCATTCCGGGCCGGGCACGCCTATGATCTACACCATCTACCTACACGTTCTCAACAGAAGGCGAGTGTCGGGCAGGTGAACGCGGGCAGGGCCACGTCGGCCTGTGCTCCCGCAGCGAGGGACCGGGAGGGCTGGCTCGGCAGCAGGTGATCGGCACGGCTGGAACTAGGGGCTGGCGGGTGACCTAGAATGCTGCTGCTGGCCACAGCCCTGGCGTAAAACTCTGGCCTCATTACGCTAACCCGCGACTTCAGCGCACTAGTCTCACTTCTCCACCTGCCACCATCGCCCTCAAGGGAACCGCTTCCAGATCAAATGGTTCTCCAGCATCCCTGTCCCTGCCACCATTCCTTCCTCCGTTTCCCACGGTGAGCTTCAGCACTCCGGCTGTTCTGCCCCCTTATTTCTGAACGCCGTCGAGGGCCAGGCAGCAGGGACAGCTGCAAGGGGCGCAATGCCCTGGCTCACTCACAGCCTTCGCACACCCTCGCTCTTCTGCGAAGTGCTTCTCAATACAGGCACCGCCGTGGGCAGAGGTACGGGACAGTCGGCGGTCCCATTTCTCCCTTTGGAACTTCCCGAGCGTCTGCAGCGGCCGCTCACTCGCGACTTCCATCGTCCTCATTTGGCAACTTCCTTAGACTCTTCTGTATCAGAGCCCCGTTCTCGGCTCCGTGCCTCCCTCTTTGTCTTACTCATCCTTTTTGCTCAAGTGCATCCTCCAGTAGTTCCTGAGAAATTCTGCATGAAAGGTGAATTTCTAAAGATGTTGCATTTCCTTTTCCTTTTTCAGAGGTTTTTGCCTTAGAGTGTGCGTGTGCTCCCCAGGGAGACACAGACAGTGGGAGGGAAAGTGAGAAATCCCCCGGGGGGATGGTCTCACCAATGGCCACGTCTCAATCCCTTCTCCTCCATTCTCCTCAGGATCTCGGGCATGCACGCACATGTCCTTGGTGTGAGTTTCAAGCCACTGGGCCTGGGACTTGAACCGGGATGGTCATTATGGGAGTCCAGTAACATAATGCAACACCATCTGCTGGCCCCATGATTCCGTATTTCCAGCAGTCTTTAATCTCCCTAGGGAATGTGAGGACAGCTCTGAGAGTGGATTGACAGATCATAACACACGTGTGCCTCCTTCACAATGAGACCTTGCGCGCTACTTTTCCAATGGAGGGTGCTCTGAAAGCGTCATTCCCCGGTTCCGAGTCACTGCTTCGTCACTTGGCACTTGACAACTGTGTCCACCGGAGGCCAGAATGTACCTGTCAGACCTCGCCTGCACTTCTCTGCTGTGCTGGTCCCCAGAGGGCCACGCGGCAGCTCCCCTTACTGCCCGCTCCTGCTCTACGATCTGCTCACATCCACACTGGCTGCGCAAAGCTTCCTCTTACTCTGGACAACAGCAGACCTCTTGTCACGCAAATCACTTTTTTGACCTTTAACAATATGGGACAGCAAGGTTTAAACAGCTGCATTTATCCAGCCGTCCCTGAAGTGTGCTGCACGCCTGACTTTACAAACCTTTTCCTACCGTGAGTAGGTAAACACGTTTTCTTTTTCCTGTAAAACTTTTAAGATTGTGTTTCACATTTGAGTATCTATAATACACCTAGAATTTTTATTTGTGTTATTTCCTGCCTATCTACAGGTTGGAGTAGGAATCCCAGCGTTCTCTCCCGTAAACATTATTTACTGTTTGAGCATGACTGTTTGAACGGTGCCCTACCTCCCCATCTACGACGCTGCTGTCCGCGAATCACTTCCTACCCAGGCGGGCTGCTTGGTCTGCTTGGTCGGCGTTCTCGTCTGCTAAGTGGTCTACCGGGCTATAACACACTTAGAGCACACCGTCAGCTAGGTTACTTCACGGTAAGCTATGAACAGGCGTTATAATAAGTCTTCATCTCTAATATGGAAGTTCCCTCTCCCTTCCCCAAGCCCTGTTCCTTTTTAGAATTATTTCTAGTTATTCTTAGTGCTTTACTCTTTTGTAAAAACTTTAAATCAACTTATCAAGTTCCATAAAAAAAATACTTCAGGATTTTGACAGGAACTGCATTTAACTTATAGATTATTTCAAAATTTGGACTTGCTTCCAACTCAAGACTAAATCTAAACTTGTCTATGTTCTTAAGCTTAAGACAACCATGGCTGGCTTTGGCTCCCTGCTGTGTGTCCAGTGTACACCCATGAATGAAACGGCCGGGACGCTTCTCCCCACACGCCGCACTGTCTGGAAATACAGCTCCCTAAAACGGACCAGGGCGTATTCTTTTCCCTGAACATATTTCTCCAATATTGGAACGACAATAGGCTTACTCTGTTGTTCTCTAACATATGTACAAATGGTCATTTAACTCATTTTCAGATTATTTTTAAAATTTGCCAGAGGGTTTATGTGCTTGCCAGAGACAGAGAGAGAGGGGAGGTGGAAAAGTACCCCCATGGGGCAGGGTCACGCCACAGTCCCTTCTCCTCCGTCTCCTCCTCCTCTTGGGATTTTGCACGCGCACATGTGCCTGGCATGCTTTTCACGTCACTCATCTGGGACTCGAACTACACAGTAACACAGGTGGGCTCCAGACACGTTCAAAACCA